AATTTGTATTTAAGGTGTAATGCACATGCCATCAATTAATGAAAAAATTGATGAAATTACTCAATTGATAGTTCTGAAAAAATTGATATATTCAAATAGAAAAAATTAAAATTTATGTATTTAATTAAGAAAAAAATTATAATTTGGCTATTCTAAGGAATATGGATGTTCTCATCACTTATTAGAGAAATTGACAAAAATACTCGATTGATAATTTATAAAAAAATTAATGTATTCAAATAAAAAAATAAAATTCATATATTCGAAGAAAAAATTAAAAATTGATATATTTACAATGCAATCATCACTAATCATAATTGATTTTTTTATAGAAATTATAGTGATAATATTGAAAAATCTAAACTACCGGACCAAAGTAAAAACTAAATGAATCTAGAGGAGCAAAAGTACTAACCATGAATTACTCTAATTGGTTCATGTAATTCACACTTACCCTGTATTTGGATAGAGTGAAAAGCTAGGGGAGGAAAGAAAAGTGTTGAGGAAAAAATTTTAATCTATTTGGTTTTCATATGAAACCTATGGAAAGAAAAAAAAACAAATTTAAAGATGATGGGACCTACTTTTCTCTCAGAATTAAGAGGGAAGTGGAAGAAAATCATACCAAAATATAATAAAAATAAAAAATAAAAGGTATTATCATTTTTGACCTTTAAAGTATTTAAATATAGAGATATTATAGTAAATGTATAATAATATATTTTTTTCTCTTTTTTTCTACAAGTATCTAAATAAGAAAAAAAAATATATTTTTTACTCTTATCTAAATCACAAGTAAAATATATATATATATATATATATATATATATATTTTTTTTCTCTGAGAGATAAAATATCCAAACACAAGATTAAAGCAAGATGTCTAGAAGAAGAAAAGAGAGAGGCGGGGCCGGAAGGGTGTTTCATTTTCAAACAGAACGGACGAAACGAAAGACCTCGGATTCGAAAATAATAATAATAAAAAAAACCTTGCTTTCTTTTCTCTTGGATTTCGTGCACAAACAATTTTACTTTCCTATTTTATTTTTTCTCTCTCTCCAAAAATAACATATATTTATCAATCAAAGCGAAAGCGAAGACACTCTTTTTCGTTGTTCTTGTTAGGGTTTTCAAGTTTAGAGAGAATAAATAAATAAATGTGTCCTTCAATTCAGCTTCAAGGTCGTGCCTTTCATGCCGTTTCTCTCATGCTGCTTCAGTTCCCAGAGAGCTGGTTTCTACCCACCAAGTAATTCCTTTTCTTTCTTTGTTTTCTTTTGCAGATACACAGTCTCTACTTGTGAAAGAAACACATTGCTTGTTTATCTTTTTAGTCAGGGTTTTTAATTTTTATTTTCTTTTGAAGATTCAGGTTAGTTTATCGCTTGTGACTTCATTTTTGTCCTTTCTGTGCATTTCTGTTCGAGCCATTTGAGTTCCTTTTGGGCTTATTGTAAAATCTTTATTTATTTATTTATTTATTTATTTTTTGTTAAAGTTTGTTGTATTTATTTTTTCTACATTTTTTGTTGAATTATGGTTCTTTAATGAGGGGTGAGTTTGAGGTTTCTTTGCTTTGAATAAGAGCATTTGTTTTTACTCTTATGGGTTTTGGTATTATGTTGAAAATTCCTTGGGGTTCTTTAAATTATGCCTTTGCTGTGCCTTCTATTGCTAATTCCAATCATTTGTTTGTAACAAAGTTCAATACCTTTTATTTCCTAAAATTTTAGCTGACTTAAGTAGAATTGGGGAGGTGATTCACAAAAGGGCTCTTGTATATTTGCGTGTGTTTTATGAAATTTGCTCTGTGGATTGGGTAGTTATGATCTTCTGAACTTTGGGGCCCTTATTTATTGTGGTTCTGGAGAGAAGAAGGTTGAATGTGACTAAAACATATGTTTTTATCTTCACTTTTCTCCCTGCTGACGTTCTACATACCAATTTGAGTAGATTTCCGTTGCTTCTCAACTATTAATTTGATAATCAGGATTCATACAGAGTAAACATGAGTTTAAAACTTTTTCTGCATAATATTTGATATTTCAACATTTAGGCTCTAGAGTGGGCAATGAGTGTGGACCCATTTAACTCTAATTTAACAATGAAGGTGAATTGTACACATTAATTAATCCAAAACGATATGCGGTGTTAAAGAGGTATATATGATTTGTTTCCCTGTGTGTTTCCTGCTGACTTTTTGAATGGCAAGGTGTTTTTTTTTTTGCATGCAAAATGATGTTAGGGAAAGTGAAATGCAGGTATTGATTTCTGGAATTCTTTAAGGCTTTATTCTTACATGAAACTTAGTACGGCTTTTGCGAGGATTTATGTGCATTAGAGATTAAGCTTTTGTTTGATGCATTTACATGGTTTATTTATTACAAACCTGGGGACTTATTCTTGTAGTATGTCTCATAAACTTTTAACTTATATGGGTTCACCTGATTTGGAAGGGGGTTAGCTGAGTTGGAATTATGGTAGTTGTGGTTTCCCTTTGCAGCCAAACCACTCATATTCTTTCTAGGTGCAATCATTGTGTGCTGTGCAGGTTTGGTGTATGGTACACCCATTTTGTTTTCCCACTCCGGCTAAACATTAATTTGATTATGGATGATTCTTTAATCCATATACTAGTTATGGCAATTCTCCCTCTTTCTTTTTTCCTTCTGTGTTGTAGCATTCTTCAATTTTACTTAATTATCATATTCGTTGACCAACAATGCCATTTTATTGGTTTTCTCATTTCTTGAAGGCAATAAGCACAAGTCATTGTTCATGCTAGCTAGAATTCTGTCATAGCTCCCATGTGGCCAATCTCATTTCCTCGATCCATGGCATGATTGTGCTCTAAATAGAGTAAACTGCCTAAACAATTGTCAGCATGGCCATTTGATTTTGGTGTTTTCTACTCAATTTCATATTGTGTTTTGCAATTGCATATACTGTCTATTAAATGCTCAAATTGTTTTCTGAAACTCATTTTCTGCTTTGTTCAATTAATGGGGAAAAATGCGAGTAAAAAAGCATGACAACATCTGCCTTTTAGTATCCTGTTTATCACCTTCCCTTTAAACTTTCATCTTAAGGTTCTTTGGGATGTTCAGTTGCATGTATCGAAAAAATGTCTTCTTGGGATGACAAATCATATACAAGTTAATGTTCCCTGATATTCTTATATTGGTATCTGTAGTTGAAGATGGGGGCAAATGAGATTTGACAACTAATTTTCCTTATATTCAGTCTTTAAGATAACTGTTTTCAGATGTGTTAATCATATTTCCCTTATATATATTTTTTTTTGGTTGTCTAAAGATTCTCATGTCTTTTTATGTTGTTCATCGCTCTCCTTGTTAATTCCTTTTGTTTTATTCTGTTAGGTTCAAAGACACTAGTGATCCAGTTGATGTCAGCTGTAAGGATTATGATCTCTTCGAGCATTGAATATGAAAGATTACTTACTTTAAGGTACTGCAGAATTTACGGATTAATATAGTTGAGATTTGGAGTGGGGAATGAAGCCATCGGTCCGTGTAGCATAGGGTAGATGTATTATATTTGACAGTTTCTGTAAATTGTTAATGGATTTCTTTAGCTGAAAGAGGATATTTAATTGCTATTTTTTTTTTTTTTTTGTCTTTTCATTTGTGTGCCATTTTCTATTAGTACTCTCTCTCTCGGGCACAGAACCACTGGGAGTTTCTTTAGATTATTCTTTCTCTAAGGGCATGATGCCTAGGTCTGATAGTGAAATTTTGTTGTTGGGCTGATGTTGGGTTGGGTTGTGATGTGTAGTTTTGTGGACTTCTGTTTGCTATAAGTGAAGCATGCACATTTGTCTATTACCATTTTTATTCATTGTTTTTTTACTAATTGCATTGATCCCATTGTTTGATGCAATGATGATAATCTTAGGTGCAGTTTCAAATTTCAATAGCTGTCAGTTCATGAAAAGATATCCTGATGCACGAGACTGTCAGTTCTTTTTGGAAGATCCTATTTTAGTTGTAGCTGGACTAGATAATGAATTGTTTTTCATCAATAGGCTGAGTTCATGTATTAGCTGGTGGGATGGAGAATAGTGCATGGAGATAAATAGGCTTTCACTTCCTGCTTTTATGGAATTAGAGGTTTTTACAGAGCTATCAAAGGGAAAAAGAAACCGTAGAATAGGTTTTATGTTAGTCTATGGCCACCTTAGCTAGCTGAAGTTCTGGCTTTGTGAGATTATACGTGTTAAGATTGTTCAGCCTCTGGACTGACGGAAAATGCATTGTCTATTGCAATTGAAGATATATAAAGTCATGGAAATATGAAATCAAACACGGTTTGAGTTGAAGGCGGTTGTGATGGCTTGATTTTTATGATCCTTGTACACAATGGTTACTTTCAAACTCTTGTTGGCTCCATGATTTGTGTTTAGAGAATATTTTGTCATCATGCATCAATCAATTTGCGTTGGACTGACGGCCTATGGCTGTGGGTTTGGATGGTCATGGCTCTCTTCTCGTGAGGGTATTGTCCACTTTGGGCTGTGGCTCTTGGTAGTTTTCTCCTACAAAAGGGCCACTTTCAGGGGCGCTTTTGGCTAAAAGATCTAACAAGGTCTAAGCCCTGATTTATTGTTGAATGAGGAGTCTTCTGTATTGTGGCTAAGCAGTTTGGTTCAATACCCAGGTGCTGTGTTTCGCTGTCGATTCTGTATTGTTGAATGAAAGCAAGATGCATCTAATGTACCGAGTGAGATATGTTCTACAAAATTCAAGCCAGTCTTCCACTGCTATCCACTTCAGTCACGAGTGGAATCAAACTTGGAATAACTTTTGCAGGGTATTCTTAACTTTTGTCTCGCAGTCAAATTAGTTTTTCGTTTTTATTTCATTCACGATGTCGGGAGTAATGAAATGATACAAGGCATATCATGTCAGACATGGTGGGTTCAGGCTCCGCGTATTCCATCATTTTGTTTCTTGAATTCGTACAAGAGAAGTAGGAAGAGATCAATTGTCTTCTCCGCCTCCATTTTGAATCTTCATGACATCAATATATGATTTTCCAGCGAGTACACGTGAAAAATATCCCTTCAAGAATTCCGCAACCCTTATTCTCCTATATTGCGCTGGAGTCTCTGGAGTAACAAGGCTTGGTGCAGGACCCATTTCACTGTCTAGATTGGGGCTGTAAAAGGTGGCCATAGAAAGTCGGTCTTTCATCGAGTTAACAGTTGCTCGGTGGTAAGTGCTGCGGTAAATCCCGTTAGTCACAATCTGAAAGAAGACAAGAACTTAAGTTATTTTTAGCAAAATCTGCAGAGCCAGCTTTTTCAATGTTCGAAGGAAAAGATAGGGGATTAGCTAAGCATAAATTATTACCTCCGACATGTCTCCAACGTTGACCACAAACGAATCTGGTAGTGGTTTAACCGGAATCCACTTCCCCGATTTCCTTATCTGTAACCCTTCCACCTCACTTGTCATAACTAAAATTTCAGAAATTTTTATTTTTAATTAGCTATTTGTTTTCTTTTATTTCATTTGTTTTTATTATCTTAATTTATGTTATTAGTTTTCTTTATTCCATTTCACTTAATAATTTGCCAAAAAAAAAAAAAAAAACAAAAATACAAAAACAAGATGAATTTAATATTTAGGGATGCAATTGTAATAAATTCAAAAGTATTATAATAATTGAGGATACAATCGAATCATTTAAAAATTCAAGAGCCAGATTACATTAGACAAGGACTAAATTGACCTAATAACAATTTACGAGTGACCAAAATGCAAAAACAAAACAAAAAAAATTACAAAAAAAATTACAAAAAAATCAAAAAATACAAAGTTTGCACCCCCTCCTGCCTGAACTAATTTATGGGATTATTTTTTTCTCTTGCTTCATGGAATCATTTTTAGTTTCGGTTGCGGGAACTAATTTACGTGCTCAATTTTGGTCTTGAATTCCAATCCTAGTAAAAATTAATTCCCTCGAGTGCAGTCGCCATTTCTCCCTTATCACCCGATCAACAATAGCAAGCACCCCTCACTCGCCAACCTCACTCGTTTTTGCCGCAACTCCCACAGTCCCTCGAGACCACTTCCCCCATATCCAAGCAACCTCCAGGTGCAATCCCCCAATTCCTGCAGACCTCACCATGCCGCAACCGGCATCAATCGCACAGACTTTCCTCCTATTACCAGCCTTGCCACAACCATCCCCTACAACCCAAAATGGTCACACATGCCCACTCCAAAAACTCCGCAGAAAATCTCCCACCATCATAGTGAGGGAACCAACCAAGCATTAAAAAAAAAAAAACACATATATATAAATAGCAAGAAGCACAAACAAAAAAAAAAAAATGGGATCCGAAAATCAGTTCAAAAAATTGGAAAGAAATCAAACTAAAAAAAGAAGAAGGAAAACCGAAACCGAAAGAAGAAAACGAGAAAAGGAAAGAGAATTTTACCCCAATTTTTGCTGGAGCAAGCAGTGACCCAAAGAGGTTTTTTTCTTCATCTTCAATCCGGATTCTCCTCTAGGTAAGCCACCCCTAATTCATCCCAATGTAAATTTATTTTTCTATAGAATTAATGGCGATGATGTTCATCACCGCCATCCTCGAATTTCCTCCTCAATCATAGACTCATATATGTTTTTCTTTTTCACTCAATCGAAGATGAATTGAATTCAAACCCGGATGCTTTTGGGTTTTGGATTTGAGAATTGAATTGGATTTTTGGGAATTTCGTGGTTCTTGACAATTTGAGTTTTGAATTTGGGGTTTTTGTTGATTGGTTTGAAATTAAGGTTAAGGAATTGAAAGGAAGGCTAATTAAAGTTGGGCGGGGTTTCAATTTAGGGTTTAAGTCTCAATTGAAGACTCGATTTAAGATAAAAAAAAAATAGGGTTCCCGAGCTTTCAAACTAATAAAATTGGGGGTTTTCAAGAAATGGGTTCCTAATAAGTGGGATTAGGTTCGATTTAAGGAGAAATTAATCCAATCAAGGCCAATCGCATGAAAATTTGAAGAATTGAAAAGTTAGGGTTCGGTCGAATTGGGGAGAATTTTGTGAAATTGATTTGGGGCTTTTTGTTTGAGCAAGGAAAAGAAGGAAAGAAAGGGGAAAAGAAAGAAAGAAAAGGGAAATCAAGCTGCCATGGACAAACCTCCATCGGTTCATCCATGGCAAGCAGCAGCGTTTTATAAAAAAAAAAGAGACGGGAAAGGGAGAGAAAAGAGAAAAGGAAGAAAAGAAGAAAGGGAGAAGGGAAAGAAAGGAAAGGAGAAGGGAAGAACCTCCACTCGGTTCGTCCATGGAGGCTAGAGCCAGCGGAGAAGAAGAGAGGGAGAAGAGAAGAAAAAGAAAGAAAAAAGGAAAGAGGGAGAGACGGGATGGAATAAAAAAAGAGAGGGTTTTTTTAGTTTTGATCCGAAATGTAAGAAGAAAAAAGGGGGAGTATTTGTGGGTTTGGTCTTTTTTTTTTGGGTTGGGTTGGGCTAAGCCCAACCCATTTTCCATTGGCCGGATCGAATCGAGTCCAGTCGGTTTTTTTTTTTTTTTGGCCGGATTGATTCCAGCTCAGACCTCGAAAACAAAAAAAAAAAAAACAAACAAAAAAATATGTGTAACAAATTTTACATTTTAATTTTATGCATGTTAGTTTTTATGTTAAATGGTCGTTATTTTATTTTTAATGTAAATTTAATTTTAGTTGTATTTATGTATGTTAGTTAGAATTTGTCATTTTAATATTTTGTAATTGTTTGAATTTACCCTTGAATTTATTTTATGCATATCTATTATTAATTTGAATTTCAGTATTTGAATTTTTTTTTATTCGTGTAGTTTTAATTTACTTGCTTAGAATTAAGCTCGGTAAGTAATAAGTAGAATATCGTCGAGTCTCCTAAATTTTTAGGGACCGATGACAATCTTTCATGTAAAAAAAAAGAAAAAAAAAGAAAATAAAAAATAGTATTTATGTATGTTAGTTAGAATTTGTCATTTTAATATTTTGTAATTGTTTGAATTTACCCTTGAATTTATTTTATGCATACCTATTATTAATTTAAATTTTAGTATTTGATTTTTTATTTAATTCGTGTAGCTTTAATTTATTTGTTTAGAATTAGGCTCGGTAAGTAATAAGTAGAAGATCGTCAAGTCTCCTAAATTTTTAAGGACTAATGACAATCTTTCACAAAAAAATAAAAAAATAAAAAAAATAAAAAATAGTATTTATGCAAAAAAAAAAAATAATAATAATAAATAAAAAATAAAGAAAGAAAAATAACAAAAAAAATCATCATAAAACTTTTAACAAAATCTCCTATCCGATAGGGACCGTTGTTAGCCAAAAATTCATTTTAATAAACAAGTGTTTTCCGACACACCGGTTGTGTCGAGACAAAAAAATGGATCCGATGTTTGAACCGACGTGTCTCCCGACGGAAGGGGTCCGACGATCGTTTCAATACAATGCCACGCTAAAAAAAAAAAACTTAATTTGACTTGAAAAATTGGAGTCTCAAAAATTGAAAAATAATTTGGCAAAAATAAAATATTTTTGGAGATAATTTAGGACTAAGCTAGATGTGGTACATTTCTTAGTAAAGGGCACTTTTGGGTGATTAATTATCTTCCCATAAGCGTAACCGACTCCTTACCATATAATCTCCGAACCGAGTGCCAATTTGAGGTTCTTAGTTCCTTCAATACTAGGTGGCGACTCCAAACTCGTAAATAGTTTTGTAAATAAAATAAAAATCCGAAACTAGTGATACAATCGGATTTATTTTTTTGGAAGTCCCGTCCGACGTCGGGTAGCGACGAATGACGACTCCACTTGGGGAGATATGTCGGGCCATAAGTTTAGTCCTTGCAAATTTATTTTCTTTATTTACTTTTGCCATTTATTTTTTTATGTCTCCTTTATTTTTCAAGTCATTTATTTTCTTGTATTATTTTATTGTCTTTAAATTTTTGCAATTCATTTCCTTTTAATTTCGTACATACTTAATGCATTTTGAACTGGGTTATATGCTTTTTGAACTCGTTGCACACACGCCACAAATGAAACCTACAAAAGCTCGGACTCGAGCTGAACCCCGTTATGATTTAGATAGAGAGATTTGGAGGCAAGTATGACGAAAGTCTACCGATGCTCTTCCGGACTCTTGTTTGGACTGGAACTCACCATATACATAGGAAATGGTGGAATAACTTTCCCCTACCTCCTAACACATAAGGTCGGAGGTCGGATTACCCCATTGGTAATTTAGATAGTTCATGAGCTTGAAAAGATTTAGGATTAGACCGAACTTCACCAAACCGTATACGAGCTAGATCCTATCCACTAGGGTTGACTTGATTAAGACACAAATCATTTTCAAATGATGTAAATACTAACCCTCGGTTCTTGCGAGTGGTCCTTCACATGAAATCATGACGAAGAAATCGAAATGACATTGAGGATTTTAGGGTCGGATCAAAGCGGTCCAAATTGATGAGGGAGATTGTTTGCCCTCGAGCTTTGTGTCGAAACCGCTCGAGAAAGCAAAACTCACCGACAAGCTACCCAATATGAGACCACTACTTAGTTGCTGGAAAATGCTTACTTCTACCGATAGGTTTGACTTCCAAAAGATGTATGGTGATATAGCTCGGCTATTTAAGATTAAGGTTCGGATCTCGTGCTTTCAAGCCATGATAGGGCATTGGGATCCGTAATATCGCTACTTCACTTTTGGGAGTATGGATATGTCACCCACACTAGAAGAGTATGAGGCTTTGCTAGCATTTCCGAATCAAAGGCGATCTATTTCTACGACCCTCCCGAACAAGCTCTAAGCACACTTCACATGGTTAATCGGAATAAACTTGACCATTGTCGATAAGCAAAGGACCCGGAGGGGTTAGACGCATGGATGGTTTTGGATTCTCCTCCAAACGAATTCACAAAACATCTACATGACAAGGACAATAGCCTCGGACTCGAATACCGGCATCGAGCATATATGGGTTGGTACTATTGTCGTTAGTTGAAGGTATGATCGACTTCGAAGCGATAAACGTGTTCAAAAGTGTAGTATCCCTCAAAATCAATCATACCGCTGCAATCCTAGCAGAAACACTCTCATCCTTCAATTTTTATCGAAGAAAAGGGGAGGGACATTTGAGGTGCTTGCGTCCCACTACTCGTTTGTTTGGACGGTTAGCCACATAGTGATTGAAAGGGCCTTGGGGATCTTTCGCACGCCATGACACTTACATTCCAAACTCGGAGAACTTTGCTAGACACCCCCTCAATGAGTTAGAAAAAACAGTATGGACAAGTATGTTCTAGAGTTTAGAGAAGTCGAATTTCACTAGAGGGCACAATATGCTTTTTCTCGGTCTTACTTAGCTTCATGTGGTGACTATCCTTGGGTACCGTTAATCGAAGCACGTTGTTGTATCAGCTATTGCCCGAATA